CATGGTTATTTATAGTGAATTTTGTATTTTAAATTAGATTGCTACTAGTATTGAATATCATAACCTTAGTATTGTTGACATTTACTTCAAGATGCAATTTTTTACAGTACTAGTATTCATTTAATTTATTCACACAGCATTGTAGACTATCTGTTGTTTCAGACATGAAAAGCTAATGACATTTACTTCAAGATGCAATTTTTTACAGTACTAGTATTCATTTAATTTATTCACACAGCATTGTAGACTATCTGTGGTTTCAGACATGAAAAGCTAATGACATTTACTTCAAGATGCAATTTTTTACAGTACTAGTATTCATTTAATTTATTCACACAGCATTGTAGACTATCTGTGGTTTCAGACATGAAAAGCTAATGACATTTACTTCAAGATGCAATTTTTTACAGTACTAGTATTCATTTAATTTATTCACACAGCATTGTAGACTATCTGTGGTTTCAGACATGAAAAGCTAAATCATCCGCATATTAAATACAGTTTAATTGTTTATTACCCATCCTGATTGGTTTGTCTACTTTGTGACTAAATATTTCCAGGTCATTCATGAAAATTGAAAAGTGTTGGTGATATGTTGCACCCATGTTTAAAAATGCTTGTAGATTGGTAATTTTTACTTTGTATATTTGATCAGTATTATACATAGATTTAATGTCTTCATAAAAAAATGTTCATTGATGTCGAAGTTTTGTAATTCAAGAAATAAAGCATCTCTCCATATACAGTCAAACGCTTGTCCACAAAACAGGTGTATAATCTTTTACCTTTACCACTATTTTCTTTTTTCCATATGAACTTTAATCCACTGCAGATTTTAAAAGGAAAGTTGAATCACTTGTAGATTTTTTCTAAACTCAAAGGGGCTTTGGACATTAAATTGTTATTTTCAATGTAATTTGTTTATAGTCTGTTGTTTCAAATACTTGTAAATAGTTTAGAGAGACAACTGGGCAAAGCAATCGTCATTGGATTTATATAGAGAGACCACAAGAGTTAATTTCCAGCTTATTGGAAACTTTCCACTCTGTAAGATGGAATGGTGAATCTTTTGAAATAGTAATTATTGTAACAAAGTTGTGGTTGGGAAGTGTGATGAATATTTGAGTCATTTCTTTTCTACTAAAAACCTCAACAAAGAAAAAAATTAGCTTTCTAGGTACATTGGTATGTGTCGGTTAGTGTCTGGGGCTGTCATAAAATTGCATGTGACATATGGTGCCTGATGGCAGGAGCAATAACTATCGTGAACGATGTCAACTGAGAGATTAAAGGGTGACAAATGTACTACTGGTATTAGCTTGCCTGAATCTTTTGTTCCTAGAAACAGGTTCACATGGAAACCTGAATCAGTTACTGGGCAAGGGAATACCACCCCTTGGCTATACAGTAGAGATAATACCTCTGCCTGTATTGCCATTGCTTTCATTGGATCCTTTGGTAACATCCCACTAGGGAGCATCGGCTTCAGTTCTGGTGGTGAGTTTATGTTCCCAAAATGCAGTGTGTTGTTTGTTGGTGTTATATCTGCTATGCTTATAGGGCCAAGGATGTAGCAATGTGTTTAACCAACTGTATGAACCCCAGACAGCTTGGCACGAATTCCATGCATGCTTTCATAATGATACAGATTCTACCCACCCTGGCTTGACAACAGTATGGGACTTAAGAATTTAGGCATGCACAGAGCCATGTACGGAACCAGGTCCAGAAGTGCAGCATGAAGCACTCCTGGAAGACTCTGCAGAACCTACATGTACCTGGATGGTGACTACCACCATTTCGAACATGCATAAGATCCCAAAATATCGCATTTTAATTATTTGTCTTTGAATTAATTTTTACACTCCTAGCCACTGTGTTTTTTTCTCATTAACTTGTATTGCATTGTATTGTATCGCCATTTGACATTTTAATTGTTTTGATCTGGGTATTTTAATACATATTCTTGAGCAGTTGGCATTTAGTTTCAAACTTATTTAAATGACCTTCATGATATCTTGTCAGCAGTGTTCAAAAAGATTTTGCAAACTATACAATTTAAAACCGAATAGCAGAACATATTTTAGTCTTTCCTGAAATTTAAGTTGCAGGATAAATCGAGTAAGTAGTGAGTAAGAGAAAATCATCATTACTCCTCTCATTGAATACTGACTAGGATGAATCAACTACTTCAACTTTGTTTAATCACTAAGAAATGCTTGATATGATACACATAGCAAATACCAGAATCTGACTAAAATTATTGCGGAAATAGCTGCAAACAACAAGCTGAAAAACAAAATTGGTCACATGCAACCAACAACCAACTAAAAACAAATAAATTAAAAGGTAATTATGATTATGTATCATGTTTTTATGGGTTAATTGCTAAGATAAATGGATTGTTAACACAATATAAAGTTACGGTAATATTTGAAACAAAATGGCTAATAAATTGTGAATAGGAAGTAAATTAACCCCCAAAATGCACTAAAAATAGTTTCTTACTCCATTCTCCCATTACTCTTGATTTACCCTAATTCAGTTGCTGCACCTACCATCCTTGTTTTGATCCAACTTCAGTTCTTCATACCTGAAGGCATAGTAAATTAAAACATTAAATCACAGACAATGTTGCTCTGACTTGGAGTTAAATGCTGTTATTATTTAAATATAGATCTGCAGACATAATTGTAATTGGTATCACTAGTTACTGAGATGTAACCTCATTGTGCCACCTAGATTGCTATAAAATCTTGACCAGTTTATTTGACCTTGCATTGAGCCAACTAGGTTAATGGCGAATATCAACAAGCTAATTTGGATTTCCATTGATTCTTGTAGGAGTCAACTCCATATAACTTTACTGCAAAATATGCACATATTGTACATTAGAGTTCATTCAAGTAAAAAAATCCTTTTCATAAATGCTTACATGAAGCTGTTTTAAAGAATTATTATTGAAGGCAAAAACAAGGGAAAATAAGTTAAAATATTGAGGTAGTTATTCTTTACATTTTCTCAATAACAATTCAACTAGTCCTGGGTAAACATTTTGCACACTTTTTCTGTGTGGCATGCTTCACTAATTTAAGAATAAATAATTATAACAATACTGAAAATGATCTATTGTCTTACATTTGTCTCAGATCATCATCGTCAAAGTACACATCATATCCATCTTCTAACGTTATTCTCATCTAGAAAATCAAAGGTGAATGAACTGTGTGATCAATAATACTCTTATGACCTATTAAGAAAATGCCAATGCATCTATACTTGAAAACATTTCTTTTGAAAAACTTGCTTCCTATTTACCACTGGGACAGCAATAATAATAATAATAGTAATTATGTATTTAATTTCCCAAAATTGTTACACATATAAATATTTACAAACACTGTTCTTTTGTACAGGTTTTTATAAAATTAAATATTATAGTGACAAAAGACACTGAAATAGTAAAACAAAGAAAAGAAGAAAAAATACATGTCAAATTCTAATAACACTAATAATATGTAAAATATATATTATTAAATAATCACTTCAAATATTCTGATAATAGCTTTTCCTTTATTTTAATTTTGAAAATTGATTAATTATCCATTTTCAATGCAATGGGTAAACTGTTCCATAAATTTGGACCTACATGTAAATGAGATATTGCAAATGTACCAATTGCTGTATTCATTTTTGGGATTTGAGATATCATTTCTGTTTTGTATTATAATTGCATTGAATATAATAGAGCTTGTGGGTTGACATGTTGTGTGGTATGTTTCCATTAATAACATTGTGCAAACAAAAGAGAGAAAGTTGTGTAGTTTGTGCAGTATTAGTGCAGCAACGACTACAATCATAGTCACAATTATTGCAGCAAGTTTAGCAATATACATGAACTAGTAATTATAAACAATAAGTACTAGCAAATACAAGTATTGGATAGCATAGACTATAGATATGATATAACAACTATATATACATGTACAAGCAGTACAAGGTCTGTACCATACAAGAAAATGTATAGTCAGTTGTAGAAATTTGTGTAAGGAATGGAGAGCATAAACTACAGGTAATATGCAGTATAGCACAGAATCAGCTATTGGCAGTATAGTTAACCATCAACTATAGACAGTATTAACATACAGCAACAAATACTGAAATAGGTAGTAT